TTGACCGTCCAGTGCGGTGAGTACAACACGCTGGATCTGTCGGAGGATCGTCGTGCACACTTCAGTCCGCCCGTGGCGGATACAATCCTCGGGGCAGCCACGCCTGTGCAGAACAGAACACCCTTTTGGAGAACGCCGAGCAGCTCCACCGACGTGTTGGAAAACCTCACAAAAAGAGGGCCGGTCAACCTGCGGCACATTACCGTGCAACTTTAATATCCTGACATCGAGAAGAGCGTTTCTACCTGAGAGTGTTCGCCCGCATCGTCATCATCATCAATGCTCAAATCATCTCAACAGGCAACAATGGCATCGCTCTCGTATTGCACATGCCCGTTGGCCTCCTCCACCCGCCGCCTCACGTCCGTGTGAAAATAAGGTCTCGTCATGCACAGCGATGCACCCTCTCGTTTCAGATAAATACCAATATTTCATAGTCACCAAGGCAGCAGTTCGGTTCTCCCTCCACAGGCACACCTCATAGAGGAGGTCCTTCTGTTCCCTTTGCCGAATCAACGCACCGCACCCAGTGGATAAGCCCTGGTAGTTTCACAAAAAAAACAAATGTTCGATTCCCACAGTAGCGAATGCTCTGTGTGATATGGAACGCACAGTTTATTTTGCTAGTGCACCGCACCGTCGGCCGCCTCGCAACGGTGCAAAGGTGTCATTGCCCCTACCTGAGTGAGGCCTAAGCCCCACATTACACGCACAGAGAGAAGCACACGGCGCATTTGAAAATATATTAATATTTTTTCACGGCACATCTATGGGAAGGAGCACCACCCCCGTATGCATGTTGGCAAAGCAATGGCCCCACAACGGCGGTGCTAAAAAAACGCACCCAGAAACAGAGGAAAAAGAAGAAGAAGGGTGTGGAACCCCCACAAGAAATGATGGATAGCCCATTTAAAACTGGCAGCAAAGAAAAGGAAAAAAAGAGGCAGCAGCAGCACTGGTGATGACCATCATTTCCTTTTTTCTTCCCTTTACTCGCTAATAACCCAAACACGTGGGGTTCAAAAGTCCTCTTCACACAAAATTGTGCGGCAGCTAGCCTCTCTCCAAACCAGCCGCCTCAATACATCCAAAAGAGCACACAAGGAAACCACGAATAGCCATGGGGAAAAAAAAGAAAAACAAAAGATCCCACGGCATTAGTACGGAGGCGGAACGACACGCTTTTCGCACAAGTAGTCGTAAAGTCGGCCAGAGCAAAAGAGGTCCAGGCCCGAGCAAACTCGGACGCCATAGGCGGTCATTGTGCTTCTTTCAGACTTTTCCGCCGGCTCCTGTTCCACCCGAAGGAAAAGGGCTGACGGAATGTGATGCTCGCCGCAACGAGTCGCTGCATCGGGGGCCAACAAAACAAATCCTCGCATATTGCGGATGTCAGGTGGGCCACCCCACCGCATTTCCACGTCATTATCGCTTGGCTGCGCACGTGCGTCTCTTCACGTACCCCGTCGTTCCTCAAGAAGCCTTTCCGCAGGAGTCCTCAAATGCAGTGGACGCTTGAGAGCAACAAGCCAGGCCTCGCAGTCGTTGTCAGTCTCACAAACCACCTCCAATGATTTCCCACCGCGAAGTAAAAGTGCGAATGCGCGGTGGTTGTTTGTTCCAAGGCTGGATGGAGTGATTTTTCGCGTGGGATCATGGCGGTGCGTCCCATTGTCAAAAACTGCCTCCTGGCGTGTCTTTGCCAGCTGTGCCTCGCCGCTGTAGTTCGCAAATGAGGTTGTGGACAGGCCGATAACTTTTTCGATGTCACGTATCCACATGGTGACTGGAGGCTGTTTGCGATTCAACGGGAATCCCTGACGGTCCAGATCACAGGAATGAATACGTTTGCGGTCCTCCGAGAGAAAATATAGGCGTCTGCGACCATTGCCCTTGCTCGGTATCTTTGTCACGCGGACCCCGTTGCGTAATTAATTCAGCACCTGATCCAAAACAGAACTGAGGCGGCGTTCCGTTGCATCGGTGTCATGCAGTTTTCCATTTTTCTTTGCCACGTAGTCATCAAGCATACGCTGTCGATACACCTCGAGTCCTCGTCCCAGCCTCTCCTTGCGGGCCCGTTCCTCTTCAGCACTGGCCAATTATGTCTGTACTTATTGCGTGAAGACCTCGTCAAACTGGTGTCGAATGATGTCCGTCTCCTCCGGATTCACAGGAATGTCTTCAAGGGAAATGGGCTTCGGCAAATACTCCTCGATCATTTTGACGTCGGCAGCAAGAGCCCTCTCGGCGGCGTCCTCCTTTGCTGTCGCCTGCTCGTACTTCTTCTTCCGCTCCTCGGCCAAGGGACGCACCTGCTCCGGGAATTTTGCATTCATTTCCTTAATCTGATGGATCCACTGCCTCCGCTGGCGACACCGCTCCTTCCGGACGGTCCTTCGCACCGCCTCAATAGAATGCCGCTCCCGCATGACGGCCTCTCGCCCCCTCGCCCCGTCAAGTTGAACCATCTCGAGCTGCTGCTCCTTCGTCTCAGTGGCGCTCTGCCGTAGGCCGAGTCCTTGCCCCGGCTGCTGCATCGCCTGCCGCAACCTCTCCGAGGCACTCTCCTCGTCCTCTTTCCTCGTTCGGATCTTCTCCAGCGTATGCTCGCACTCCCAAATGCGGCTTTCGCGGTCGGCCTGCAGAGCACTGCTCTCCCGCTTTTTCGCCTCCAGAGTCCTCCCAATTTCGTCCAACGTGGCCCCACTTCTCCGCTCAAGCTCTTCGGCCATCTTCTCCGCCTCATGCTTGGCGCGCTCGCGAACCACACTCAGCTGCCGTTCCCGCGCCTCCTCACGGTTGCTCTCAATGGCGTTGACGCGCTTCATCCCCTCCTCCTTTATGCCTGAAATGGCCTGTTGGATTCATAGCTAAAAAGCCTGTAGTCGTACACGGTCCGGGCAATCATGAGTTCATCCCGCAACTCCATGATGTCCTGATCAGGACGCCACTTGTCAACGGCAAGATCCCTTGTGGTGGATCCGATTCCGGTCAAGCCAAGAATATTACCAACACGACGAGTCATGGAGAGACAATGGAACGATTCCTCCGCCCACACGGCATCCGAAAAGGCGTGAGCCAATAAAGCCGTCTCGGTAGAACCAGTGAGGCTATTGTTGCGGTTGCCTTTTTCCGTGTTGTACGCTCGGCGCAACAACTGACTGAGTTCTGACATGCCGAAGGGAGTGCACAGACGACGACGGCGAATGCCGGAGACAATTCCTGCTCCCGACACCAGTGTTCGTTGGGCCCCTTCGTAGTGTAGCTGCGCGGCGGCATCAATGCCACACAAGGCGGGCCGTTCGGCATCTCCCAAGGCGACAAATGTCAGGGAGTTTGCATCCATATAATCTGCAAACTCCGCCTCACCATCATCGCGGTAAAGCTGAAGGACGACGGTGTCGGACAAATAGGAAGGCATTGCCTCCAGCTCAGGCGTTGGCTGCTTTTCACACAGCACGGGGAAAAGCTATTTCTCATAGTTTTTGACGATAGTGTCCATCACCGCTCGACCGGCGCCGGCCAATGAGACACAAATTCGTGCCGCCATTCGCACACGAGGTCCCTCCTTCACGGAGTCGACAATAACACCGAGCTCGTTGTCGGCGTCAAGAAGGTCTGCGCGGTGCTCTGTTGACCCAATGACGTAGCATGAGAAGGCAAAAATGCCCTTTTTGGCGCCCAGCCGAATAAATTCGGTGATGACTCAAGCAGCATATCCTTCTCCAGCTGCAGAGCCGTACATGAGTTGTCGCTTTGGTGACGAACGCACGCCGTAGCTGAAGGCCACCATGTTCTTGCGGTCCTGAGTAAAGTTGGGGGCGGCAGTGGCACACAATTTTCGGAAGAGTGTACTTGCGTCCGGCACGTCCAACGCCTTATCGACGTCAAACAAGGCTCCAGCAACCGCAAATCCGGCATCCCTCAGGGGCTGGGGGCAATTCAACCGCGCCGTGTTGCCGTCCACCCGCATTTTCGCGGGGAGCTGCGAGGACGGCGTCGTGGTTTGGTGGGAACAGAAACGGCCTTCGCCTCCATTGAAAGAAAATCACATTGAATGCTGCGCTGTGTGTTTGTTGCATGCACACACAGGAGGTTCAAAGACAGGCAGAAAGAAAAGAAGAGTGAGACCGAGAGAGAGGGAAACAACACTGAATAATCTTCTGGGCCGCTGAGCGGATCCTGAAATTATCCAAAAAGGACAGGAGAAAAAATTCGGTAGATGGAGAGGCAATGAGTTCGCCGCAATGTTTCCCCCAAAATATATGCACATTCCGTCAATCACTGCCGTGGACTGCTGCGCACAGTTAGAATTAGAAACACTTATCCCCTGCGAAGCCGCAGGCCTTTGGGGCTCCTCCAGCCACAAAAAAACGCCGCAAGTCAGGGATCACAAAGTGGGTGGGTGGGAAGATAAAAAATAAAAAATAAAAAAATAATAATAATTCCGTCTGGCAGCTGTCGGCTCCCTGACTGCCTCAATCGCGGTCTCCCAAAAGACAGTGCGATAGAAGAGAAAAAGTTGTGGAGAGATATCTTCGTTTGCGCGAGATATGAATTTATTTGGGCAGCCAGCCGTCCTCTCAGGCATTCTTTTCACAAAATCCCATAAAAATAAAGAGAAATTCCGCGGCCCCTGTAGTGCGCAACAGCCTCCAGTGACGATGCGCCTCTGGTGGAAAAATAAAATAAAATGAAAAGAGGGTGTGGTGAGTGTGGCACTGCCGATCACAACGGTTCTCTGAAAGGAAAGGCACTCACTGTCTAGACCCCGTAGGCACACACATATAAAAATCGTTAAAATACTCCCTAATATATTTCATCAAAACGATGTGCACTCTGTTCCCCAATTATTTCCCCAACTTTCTTCCCTATCCCTCTTCCCCCAAGATTGTTGTATTCTCATTTCTCGGATTTTATTTACAAAATCACGTGTTAACACAAACTGGTATTGGTGTACCTTTCCGTCCCAGAACGCCACAATCTCTTTTTCAGCGTCGGTTTCATTATTGCGATTGACGCGATCACATTCATGCCATTTTGATATCTTTTTGCTGTCTGCGTGTTGTATATAAATCATCTCCCACGACAGGTCTCGGGATAATTCGTCCCATCCTTCAAAATATGCCGCCAGGTACTCAGTGAACTGCCTCACGGTGCTGGGTATCGTGTGGTGCGCACTCGCCGTAGTCATCTGCAGCCCAACCAGCGTCCTCCGCGGTGACTCCATGAAGAAAAAGCCGTCCACCAGCGGAAAGTTTTCAACCTTCGGTAGGTACAGCACCCCGTACTCCATCGGAATCCTCGTGACACCGCCTTCCAGTTCCCTTATTCCAACGGTGCGAGTGGGGTGCCCTTGATGGTTTACCTTCAGCACTGAATCCTGTGCTTCACTACGTTCTGGTGGCCTCAGCTCATTGAGTCCCTCTACTATTGCACTGACAAGCTCCCCATACATGAAGGCGCGCAAACCTAATTGTTCCAGAGCTCGGGAAACAAGAGCACCATGCGATCCCAATATTATCAACAAAAGATTCTTCGCACCCGTTTTCTTTTCCAAACGGTCTGCAATTCGAAACCCGATATCAGCACTTATCGATGCGTTGAGAAATACCTCAACACCTTCTTCTGTTCTTTCCCGGACGATCTTCACAAGTTTGTGAGACGGATCCTCGAAATACCATAGCTTGCCTCCTCTCAGGGTAAAGTACTCTCCAACATCAGTAGGTTTGATCGATAACAAGGCACCATCAACGGCACCCATGCGATCAATATAATCATCCTCATCAAAGATGTAACGTAGAATCGGCCCCACTTTATCCATGTGTTTTTTGACCATCCTCCAGTATTCCGCTTGCTTATCTGGTTCCAGACCTCGCTTCATCCATGCACACATCGCCTTCACATCCATCTCGTCGGGACAATTCATGATGATTCGACTGGCTTTTACTTGCTTCTCCCACTCATCATAGTTGCTTACCTCTGGGGATGACACCACAATCATGCCCCATCCGGTGGAGGGCGCAAAGTCTGTGTCGGGAGGTGTTCCTTTCCTTGCCACATCGTAAATAATATACCCTTTCATCCCACTCTTCCTCAAGCCATCCAAAACATTCTCGGATGTTTTATTACCCATGTATTCTGTCACGGTTTTGGTGGTCTTGTCAAAGACGTACGCATCCTCTCCAAAACAGTGGACTACCACTTGGAGTAGCTCCGCATCGTAGTGCAGCAGCTGGTAGAGGAGGTACGAGCTGGCAGCCATCGACTTCCCGATCCCGGGCGTCCCAATCAACACACGCGGCAAAGGTGAAGGATTGAGAGTCAAATCAAAATTGCTGAACCACTCGGTTAGATCGCGCTCGACGATCTGCCACACTCGATCCACCTCAGAGTTAACACACAATTCATTACCAGCCCCATGCAGCCCATTCATCGTGTACGGCCATCCCTTGTCCGAGGTGAGAACCATCAACACGGGAGGTGCTTCACCGGATTGCCCCACACCGTCATCCTTTTCGAGGGTGTTGCCAACTTCCCTGTACGTCCATGACTGCGAGGGTTCCCCCTCCCTCACCTTCAATCCCGTCCCCTCGCCGCCAGGGACTTCCACGACATGGTGCCACCTCGCATTGTGCACAGACTCGTACAATCCCTCCATTTTTATCGGTGCAATCGTCATCGTTGGTTTCCCCGCCTCCTCAAGAGCTGCATCCAAAGTATCATTAGTGATGCAATGAACACCTGCATTTACCTCCGCAGTAGCTTCTGACCACCCAAATAGATTGTTGAAACCATTTTTGTAAAGCTTAATTCGATCTTTTTCGAAGATTATTTCATCCCTTACAGCCCTCTCCATCCTCGCATAAGCATCGGTTATCTGTATTTCTTTCAATACTCCTTCATCACGGATATACTTCGTGGGGTCCTTGAAAAACTCCTTCAGCAAAACACTCCGATTGGTGCCCACAACGCCCCTGCCGCCCAATTCCATCGTAAGAAAATCATTCAGCTTCTTTTCCTTGACGCGGACTCCTCCTTTAAACAGTACATCTTCGATAATAGTGGAAAAGGTAAATTTCATTTCTTGCGCTCGTCTTACCCTTTCTTCTGCCTTCCGCCACGCTTCTCTCAGTATCTGAGTGAGGGCTGCGTTTAGTTTTCCCCTTGCAATGGGAGTGACTGTATCCTTTCCCTCATAGTCCCTCCATTGCTCGAGCGAGACCAAACCCTCGTGGTGAAGCTTAGTAATGGCCTCCAATAGAATTTTCATCTCATCCAACTCCCTTTCCATCTCTTGGTACTCTGTTAAATTAAAAATAATTCTAAGAAGCCGCTGGTCTTGCACGTAAGCATCCGGCTCCTGAACAAACACCTCCATAATGACGTTCCCTTTTCTTTCCACAACCCACTCATCGCCCAAGTTGCTCCGAAGGAAATCGTTCAGCTTCATGTCTGTGCTGAGAGTGTCTCCCTCCAGCAGGATTTCTTCAACGCTGCTGCTCATGGTCCACTGCGGCCACACTTTACTCCCCGCCACATGTCGAGCTGCAGCGTCGGAACCATCGTCGGGGATGCCACGGCGAGGTGCCATCACAACACCCGTGCGGTGAAGCATCCCACTCGCACCGCCCAACTGCGGCCAGCAGGTGCCGCTGGCTCCAAACGACATCCGCGGCTGTCTCGTCCCGCAGTCCCAATGGCGTTGGGCGTGGCACTCGCACGGCTCGGTGGTCGGTGCGCCACGCAGCCGCACTGCAACGCCTGTCGGTGAAACAGTCAAGACCCACCGCCTCCGCAGCAACACAACTTGCAATCGGCCACAACACCGCCACATTATCGCCCTTTTTATTTTGTTTTATCCACGTTGTCTGTCCGTTTGCCCTATCACTAACACTAGTAATGAGTGCACCTTCACAAAAGGGAAGGAACAAAGAGAAAAGGAGGCACGATCCCACCGTCCCGCCGCAGGCCAACACTCTCCTCCACCGCCATTGCCGCGCAGGAGACCGCAGTCACATCGCAGAGTCAGCACCACAGTGTGCACCACACCATCGTGCAGTGAACGATGGGCGAGACGCAGCCATGCATCGCCCCGCTCCATTTTCCCACCACTCAAGTCTTGCGTGCCCGCACAAAGCAGCAAACAGAATCAGAGTGCACACAAACCCAATCAACACCCTCACTCGCTAAACCAAATTATTCGCATGGAGTGACAACATTTGAGGACACACCAGCAGTAGCAGGCTGCATGGAACCTCCCTGCCAGCCCTGCAAAGAGACACAACAACTCTGCGGAGTCAAAGTGGCAGCCCCTCGATGTTGCCCGCAGTTCACATGACAGGACAAACTCCACGCACTCATAGTTCCGGATTCCTCGCTGTTTGAGTGCACATCAACAGAACAAGTAAAAAAAATACGTGCGCGCAAGACGACGGTTAAATACACGAATGTTTCAGCCTGTTTTGTTCGATGGTGCTGGCGAGCGATCCCACACAATCCAATCAAAGTGACACGCCGGACAGAATGGCGTCAGCCAATAATAAATGAAAATAATTGCGCCAATGCAAAAAGCAGCAGGGATTTGGGTTTTGCTTCCGAATTCGGGGGCGACAGTGGCAGAGAGTGTGTATGTGTGCAAGACCCTTCGTGGGACGGTGCTGTCCAATCCCGCCGTGCCCTGACACAAAAGGGCAACAGAAAAAAAAATAGGAGCACACTCTCCAGAAAAGGAGTGGCGGTTGGGCAGTCAACCCCCGTTCCTTCTCACGTGACATCCACATATGTGCACCCCACCTCAAATGCGTACTTCCCTGAACGCCGCATGCATGAAGTGTGGTTTCGTCACTCGCAACGTGTTCTTCCTCCCGCAAGCAACCAAAAAAAATAATAATGGCCATGGCGCAGCTTCGCTCAGGGAAGCAATCGGAACAGACACGAGTGGGGCCAGGGATCATACCAAAAAAATATATCTAAAAAGGGGGCAATAACTCCTCCAAGCCACTGAATCGTGCAGTGTCCATCCCTCTTCCTCTGAATTGAAGACCTCCTCAACAGAGCAAATGCAACAGACACATGTGCAGCACAATATCTTTCGCTATCCCGCGTCCAATCTTAATTCCCATGCGTGCCACGGCGGTGGTGCCGGCGTTACATCCGGGATGACTCCAAAATATCAAACGCCATGCTGTGGAGAGTGGATGCTTGACAAATGTGCCCGCGTCAGCGTATAACACGAAATGGCATCAAAAATAAAAAACTATTCGCGACTCAACCTACCCGTGTGTGACCGCAACAAAGCAACACTGAGACATGTGTGTAGCAACGCAAAAAAAAAAAAAAAAAAAAGAGAGAAGAAAATAATAATGGAATAATCCACAAAAACATATCAATATATAAATGCACAAAAAATACATCAACCCGCATAATTTTTCCGTTCATTTTTCTTTTTTTCTCATTTGATACAACAACAATAACTAACGAGAAAAACAAGCATGCCCTCCCACACAGTCCTCGTGGAACAGGAGACAGTCGTTGCAGGCACAACAACACAAAAAATAGAAACAGTGCACAGAAAAAACAGCGGCAATGCCGTTGCGGAGTCCGATGGGTGGCTGTGGTGCGCTGCAGCCGCGGCCCCACGCCCTCCCTCAGCGACCAGCAACGCACAACTGTCACTTCCGCGTGGCACACGTCACAAAAGAGCCTTGTTGTTTTTTATCCCTATTGCTTTCTCAATTGAATCCTATGTCCCGCACAACAGCTTCTATAGGAGAACACATCAGCCCCGCTGAGTGGAGGCGTGAAGGAAAGCCCCGACACCCGGAGAGGGAGCTGCAGCGGAGGGCGTGCAACACACACCCGTTACGCATCCTCCCCGCGCTGGCGCGTTGGCTAAATAATTCACTGTTGCCGGAAATCGGTAAAACAACACATCAATAAATCAACAAAAAAACTGATCTATAAATAACAAAAATGGAGTGCGCCTTCCAGCAGCATCGAAGTTGTGCCGCATATGCGAAAAGCCATGTGCCTTCTTGCCGCGCGAAGGTACTGTTGGGGGCAGAGCATTTCCACCTCGAAAAGAAGAAACTATGTCAGCCTTTTCGTGAGGCACACACTCCCCACTCCCCCTGCGTCCACACCATGGTTGTTGTTTTTTCTAATTGCCGGAAAAGCCGAGCAACGGAGTAGGTGCATGCTTGTCTCTTCGCGCTGCCCACGTCGGCTGGGTTCCACAATGTTCGGTCGCTACCAGTGGCATGCCGTGCGGTGGCGATTCCGTCCATCATTGTTGTGGCACTGAAAACCGCGTGTTGGACGGTGAAATCCAGCCGGTGTTGATCCTATAGAGCTGTCGTCGCCGGGCGACGTGCGCCTCCTCGGCGGCCTGACCCTCTGCCGTCATGGACTCGGCAACAGTGTGACGTTAATGATTGGACGGTTGCGTGCCACGTTAGGCAAACAGTACACTCTTCCCTGCTGGCATTCTCCTTCCTCGCGGAGGCCAAAGACTCCTTCGGGGACGGAGTCTCTGTGTGGGTTTGCTATTCTTCCTCTTGTGGCTCAACCCTTCCGGCGCGCACGGGTGTCCAATCTCTATTTTTGGCGTCGTGACTTCCTTACAGTCGGGGTCCTTGTGCCGGCTGTGGCTCTGGAACAGAGCGTTCGTGTGCGCGTAAATGGGGCATTAGCCTCGCCTTCGTTTGACCCTTCAATTCACTGTAAGCGCATTCGAACAGGGGGATGCAGTCCAATCGTCGTTTTCCAGGAGACGCTTCCTACTTTTCAGGAGGCAGCATTAATTCTAAAAGTGCCGGAGATAAAGAATGAGCCCGTCACGTTGGTCGTACGACGCCGTGCAGAGACTGCATGGGAGTGGCCTCGGCCTGGACTGTGCTGTCTGTGGCGGAGGTGCGATCGGTGTGCCATCGCTCGCTCTCGTCCTCGATAAACTGGTGGGTGGCTATTCCGGTTCACTGGGAAAATTGACTTTCCACAGCGCCAGGGAGCGCGCAACGCCACGGGAGTCGAACCCGTGCATCACGACACTCACGCGGCAGCTGCAGTGCTTGCCGCACACCGGGCGGTATGCTGGGGCGTTGGTTCGTGGCGGGGTAGGGTCCACCGGGAGGCTAAGAAGTTTCCGTGCGAAGTTCTTTGCGTGCCTGCGGTGGGGCATCCGGGACGCAGCGACGGCATGTGCTCGGGATGGCGAGTTGCAGTGGCCGCAGCAGCCATCCGTATTTGTGCGAAACCCCGCTGCGGAAGCGGACCAGTGCGGCCTCTTCCCATTAATGAGGTGGAGTCCGTGTGCGTGGCTTCCCAGTCGTCTGTCACGGTGGTGCGGCGAGGTTCGGGCTTGAGCTGTCGGGCACGGATAATACTCGCGGCCAATGCGACCATGCCGGTGCTCCATGTGTCTGTGAGCTGTGAGTGGTCGAATGCCTTCTTGGCTTATGCATCACAAGCTCCGTTCTCAGGCACGTCCACAATGCGAGTCACCAGGTGATCCAGAACCGTCGACATGTGCTCGCGTGCTTCCACGTTTCAGCAAAAATGTGCATACACGCACGCCGCCGTGGAAGAAGTCTCGGTGTATACCGTACTCTCTGTGCCAACACCGCACCCCTCTGTATCTGCTGTGGTGCATGAATTCCGC